GAAACTTTTAAATTTTGACTTATTTTGCACAGGATCAGAGAGAGCATTAAAATTCAAATCTTTTGACATAGGCAGCTTACCTAAAAATGTGTATTACTTATAAAGACAATTATTTGCAGATCTGTTTGAGGGTCAGTTCTGGATTTCTAGCACAAATAATATAAATCATAGGCAATGTTGAGCTGAACTTAATGAAACAAGAGTAAATTGTATGAGCTAAAAGCAGAGATTTCTGATTTCCTACAAAGGGGCAAGATACAAATTTGTTTTGTGGTCTCAGAGGGTTTTCATATCTCTCCAGACTTGGGAAAAGAGCTGTTACCATCAAATTTGGATATCTGAGTTCTTTTAGAAGGACTTCACATTGTCCATCTTTATTAACCAAAGAGACTGCATGTCTTGGGCTAAAAAATAATACATGTGAGTGGAATAAAGGAAGCATGTGCTCTCCATTTCACTGGTGTTTCCCTATCAAAACATGTGACTAGGAGAGGGCTGTCATTGTGTGGATAGGGACAAACTTGGGACAGAGGGATCTACCCTGCAATGAGGCATCAGCTTCAGGAAGAAACTCCTTCATATTTAATGTAGACTTTTGTGCATATATGTGCTTTCTCCTGTAGAGAGGAAGTAAAATTTTCACCAAATGTTTCCAAGATATGTTTGCATTGGTTTAAGAAGGATAGAAGGTAAGCACAGAATCTGGAGCCAAACCACTTGAGTGTGCATTCTATCTGCCACCTATTAGCTTTCTAACTTGCTTCATGGTTCCAGCTTCAGGTCTCTAAAACTTCAGTCCCCTAGTGTGACCATTGTGCTACATCACCAGTTTACTGCATGGATAACCCCTAGTGAGGGCCTAGTTTCGTGAGAGCGAGCAGTGGAGGCGAATAAACCTGGTGCTGAGGAAAAAACATTAGCAGTAGCATCAGCTCACATTTATTGATGGGATGCAGGGAACCGTACATAGGCCATGGTGGAATGAATGTCTCTGACCCTCAGAGGAATTTGTACGTATTCACCTGTGACACAGGAAGGGGATTTGAAGAGGGCTATGATTTGACAGAAGTGGCATTCATGGTGTGCTCCTCAGAGTGTAAGATATAGGATAAATAGACCGAGAAAAGCAAAGAAGGGATGATTTTTCCAAGAAGGCAGATGACAGAAAGAGGAAGAACTAGGTAGGGCCCCTGTCAGTAGGAAGACAGTGAAGCTGAGGTTGTTGAAAAGAGTGAGGAGTTGGAGAGACACCTCAGAAGTCAAGGGGCTGGATGGTGTCGGGGGAACGTGGAAGTACATCGTGGTGGTCCAGCAGAGCAGACAGAAAATGAGTCCAGGGAAAAGGCTATTGGGTTGGACTTGAAGGTAGTTTTTGGAAACTTTAGGAGGGATGAAGGTGCAAGCCCAACTGTCCCATTATGCTACATTAGTTTCATGTTAACATTTAATTCCTTCAAAGGCTGGGTATAGTGAGGGTAGGGAGAATTAAAGCTGGGACAATTGCAGCTATGAATCTTGCTCCATATGGTGTTTGTAATCTGTTATAAGAGTGGATATGTAAAACATAAACATAAGAATAAGTGCAGAATAATGCAGGGAATACTCCTCAGGGAGATGGTGAGTGAGTGATCTGTGAGGGCTCCTTGGGGATTCTTCAAGGGTGAGTGGAGTTGTAGGGAGGACGTTAGGGCTATGGCTGTTTTTGAAAAGGGAGCGGGAGGCCAGCCAGAGAAAGGGTAGTTGAGAAGGGCAGCTCTTGGCATTTAGAGCATGCTTTGGACAGATCAGAGGAGTGAGGCCAAGAAATAATGCTGCCTGCCATCCATGGAGCTTTTGAGGAATGACCAAAAAGGAGGCTTTACCTGAAACACATAGGAGTAGTGATAGTTTTGGGGTTAGAGAGAAGTCATTGAGTTTCAGTGAGAAAACAGACCCTTGGATGACATCTAAAGTTGTGCTTTCCTCTCCTGGTCCAACGTCAGAGATCCTGGCAGAGTTATGTGTGTTCTCAGGCTTGCCTGGATCGTGCTCACAGGTCTAGGGGAAGGAGAAATCGGCCACGAGGTGAACAGGCTTTTTCTTGGCTCCTTAGTAGAGGGCACTTCCTCAGGATGTGTACACTTCTGCTGACTGAACTTTGCTGTGATTTGATGGTTTAAAAAAATACAAACCACAAAGCTAAACAACCCCTATTCTCTACCACATTTTCCACTCTGCATTTTTCCTAGTGTCTTTACCAGGGAAACAGTACCTTCTTTAGCCTTTGTTTCTCAAAGAGGCCACAAGTAATATCCGGCTATAAGACTATCTCTTTTTATCAGCAAATGATTCACAAACAGCTGGATCCTCACCACATAGCTGGACTTTTATGTTTACTCTGGAGGAAAAAGAAGCTTCTTATCATATCACTGTTGAAATGGCAATCATAATTATAAATGGTTGTTTTGGTTCCCTTTTGCTGACTTTTTTTTAAACATCCAGCCCATCTTATTATCCATCTATGTAAATACATGCACTTAGAACACATGGCATCTCTTTGATTTAAAAATTAAAAAATACCTGGTGGGCACAGTGGCATGTGCCTACAGTCCCAGTTACTTAGGCTGACAGGGGAGGATCACTTGGGCCCAGGAGTTTGAGTCCAGCCTGGCCAACATAGTGAGACCCCCATCAATCAGTCGATACATAAATACATATATGCATAACCAACCTCATAAATGGACCCAGCAGATGAAGTTGGTTCCAAACAGACATCTGAGCTGGATGAAATACTGTTATCTGCTGAAGCCATAACTACCTACCTACTCTCTTTGCCACTGACTGCTCTATTGGAGGAAGCTGAACCCTATGAAGAATTTGAGGTTAAAATCTGGGTTTGATGCAGGTTTTACTTACTGGCTGTGTGACTGTAGACAACCAAAACCAGCCCTAATTATGTTGTGAGGATTAAAATCAAAACAAGGGTAGTGTATGTGAAATTGCACTGTGAAGTGTAAGGTCTGCATGGTGTGTGTGTGTTTTGTTTTCTAAAGTGTAATTCTTTTAATAGATAATAAAATCACATTGTTCCGAAATCAAAATAACAAAGGGTTTATAAAGAAGAATCCTGTTTCCATCTTTGACACTCTCCATTCCCCTCCTCTTCTCTCAGGTTACCATTTCTGTTAGTTTCTGATAGAGCTTGCTTGCTTGCTTGCTTTTTTTTTTTTTTTTTTAGTGCAAATAAATATACATATATAAATATAATTATTGCCTCCATTTTTTACAATGGTGGTAGCATACCTTATACCCTGCTCTGCATCTTGCTCTCACTTCATTTAACAACATGTCTTGGAGGCATTTTCTTACCAGTACATTTCCACATCAGTACATCTTCATTATCTTCTACTGTCTGCACATACCTTAGTTTATGTAACCACTTCCCTCACTAATGGAACGCAGTTGTTTTGGTCTTTTGCTATTACAAACTATTATAGTGAGTTAATATATGTACAGTGCTTAGAACAGTGACTGGCACATAGTAAGTGCTGAATAAGTATTAGCTATTGTTGGTTGCACTAAATACATAGTGTGAGCATGCAAGTACTATGTATCTGTAGGACCAAGTCCTAGATATGGCATTGCTTAGTGAAGAGGATAAATGCATTTGTAATTTCTCTAGATATTGAAAAATTCCATAGGTGGTGTGTCATTTTGCACATTTGCAACATACTCTATACAAATTTAAGGTTAAGTGGGCATGCTTCACACAGGAGGTGTGTAGTAGTTGACAAATTGTCACTACTGAATTATCTATTGAAATTATCTGTGTTCGTAGTTGGGGACTAGACTGTGCAAAAGTAGTAAATGATGGGCTTTTCATTGAGACTGTGTTTCTAATGTTTTCTTAGTACTTATCATACTTTGTTCTTGTATTTATTTTTTATTATAATAGCAGAAAAATGGTTGTAAGCATAACACCTGAGTTAGAATCCAAATAGAGAAAGATTAATAAATTCAATTTAATAAAAACAAATTTTAGTAGGCTAGCAAATATCATAAACTAAATTAGAAGGCAAATTACATAATAGGAAAAAATGTCTACAACCAGTATAAATAGGGTGCTATTACTGATCACTATGAAAAAGTTAAACACTCCAATTAAATACAGAGATTTCAAACAGATAATTTACAAAAGCAAATTGTAAATAGCAAGCAAACACATTAAAAGAAAAATAGCCCCAAATTGGACCCAAAAAGAAGTTGGTAATTATATATACCAAATATTGATGAGGATATAAGAAAATTTAATACACTCATGTATCGCTTAAGACAGGGATCACTTCTGAGAAATGCATTGTTAGGCAATTTCATCATCATGTGAATGTCATAGAGTGTATTTACTTAGACCAGATGGCATAGCCTACTGCACACCTAAGCTACATGGTACAGCCTATTGCTCCTAGGCTAAAACCTGTGCAGCATGTTACTGTACTGAATACTGTAGGCTATTGTAAGACAATGGTAAGTATTTGTGTATCTAAACATGGAAAAGGTACAGTAAAAATACAGTATTATAATCTCATGGGACCACTGTCATATACGCAGTTCCTTGTTGACCACACATCATGCGGTACATGACTATAGATAATTAAGGATATGTACAAAAATTTAGTTACAGAAATGTTTGTTTATAACAGTATTGTTTCTAAGCATGAAAAAAAATCCAGATTCCAACAACACATTTTGATTTAATCATACAGATTCAACATCTAAAAATTATTATGTAGGTAGATATATTTATCAGTACGGATAGAGGTTAATTGGAAAAGCAACATGTGTGGTACTTTGTAATACAAGACCATGTGTGATGTCTCATTTTTATGAAATGTATAGAGTCTACATGTAGAAACTTTATCAAAGGATATATGTAAAACTTGAACAGGAGCTTATCCCAAAGTGGTGGGATTATAGGAAGCTTTAAATTTATATTCGTCATCTTTTCATTCTCCTCATCCTCTTCATCATTCCTTCCTCATTCTCCCATGTTTCTAAAATTTTTTATAACAGCCATGAATTATTTGCAAAATTTTAAGCAGTCAAAAAGCAATATAACATTTCAGAAAATTTGGAGAGAAAATCACTTACACCATGGCATAAAATTATCATTTTATTATTGTTCTTCATGGTTTTTTGTGTGCATCTAATTTATAACATAGTTGTAATCACACAGGATATACTACTTTTATATACTTTTACTTTTATCATGTAAACAGTTTTCCATGTTGCTACACAGTCTTTGCAATTTCATTTTAAATGACGGATAATGTTCTGTGAGGTGGTCTCTCACTGTTTGTTAGGAAGTTTGAAATAGGAGATACATGCCAGCGAAGTGTTTGCTTTTCTTTGCTGGGAGCCTTTCTTCAACCTTGAGTTATGGCTGTCAGGTGAAAGATTGGGAGTGACTTAATGAGGTCTTGGTAGTCCAGTTTTCTTAGGTCCATGCTGTCAGACAGATCCATCAGAGCAGAACAGATAACTTAATTTTGCCATACCTTTTTTAAAAATAGCAATACATACATGCATGCATACATAGCGATACATACATACAAACCAACCAACCACAAGTACGTAGTTTGTTAGTGAAGTGAAATACTTTGTAGAACAAAGACAACAAAAAATATAAAATATTTTCAATTCATAAATGAAAATATATTTGTCACCTTAATCTAGTCTGAGAGGTTTAAATCTTAGATCTCTGGTAGGATTTCTGAAAACTATTTTCTCAGATAAAGGGTCTTCCTTCCCTTAAACTGACACATTTGAAGTTCTTCTGAATGAATTTCACCTAACCAGTCTATAGCTGTATCCACAGATACCGTTTTTCCCTTTACAGATGGATTCTACTCTTTTTCTTACAAAATACAGAAACATTCCCAGTTTGGGTTTTTTTTTTTTTGTCAGTTCACTTATTAATATTTCTTTCTCTTTGCATATAAACAAACAAAACATTAAAGTTGAAACAAAATTTAATTTCACCTTAATTCCTAAAGCTGCTTTTTTTTATGCATTTATCTGTTTGTTTCCCTAAATGTAACCTTGGGATCCCTGGAGCAGTTTTTCATTTTGTTTTCTTTTGGGAATGCTTGTTTCTCTCCCGCCCCCCAGCCCCAGAATATTACGGGGATACAAAGGTTTAGGTTACATACATTGCCTTTGTGCCGTCCGAGTAATAGCTACAAGTGTGCCCATCCCCCAGACTGTGCGCATCACACCCATTAGGTGTGAATTTACCCATCTCCTCCTCCCCCTCCCACCTGCCTGACACCTTATGAATGTTAACTTGTGTGCACAAAGGTGTTGATTGATTAGTACCAGGGAATGCTTGTTTATAATGGCCAAAGTGCTTAAGGGCTCAATGCTGCAACTTTCCTCAAATCAAAATGGCTACCTGAGTCCTGCCTGAGCAGGTGTTTCGCTGCTCCGTGTACAGCACTCCCTTGGGTTTCAGACACGCCGATCCTAATCTTCTCAGTCAAACTCCAAGACACGCAGTGTCAACAGTTAACGGCAGCCACAAGTCCATTATCTACATAGGGTGCAATTACTTGGCAGCCACCTAGACTGTGAGGTTTTTGTGGGCCCTCAAAGAATTCATATCCTGAAGAGAGACACTAATCAAGGCAGGTCCTCTCGGCGGGGACATTGAAAGGGTGGATTACAATTGATAGGAGTTTTAATTTGTGAAGACTTAATCTGATCTCTTGCTTTTGGAACAAGATAGTGTAGATGTACTTATTGTCCATTTTCTCTGGGCATTCTTTGAAGATTCATTTGATTGTATGGTGATAATATTGTTACAAGGACACAGAACTTTATTACATGAATCTGCCTCTATCCTTCACCTGCCCCACTGCCCAGAGATTCTCCAGGGATTTATTCAGCCTGCACTGTGGTAAGGGTAAGGATGACTAATGTCTCAAATTGTGTGATGTTTAGTAGTCTAGTCTCCTACTCGCTGAAAGCTCCTTTTTAGGAGGGCAAATCCTGAGTTTTTTCAGGAAGCACTTAAGATACAGCAAGAAATGGTACTCGTTGGCCATTTAGCTGACAATACTTTTCTTGCTAGAACTTAGTGGCACTAGTGTAAGTGATGTTAAGGGCCAGGTCCTGACTGACTGACACAAGCAAAGCCAGAGACTTTGGAATATATAATCAAGACAGCAGAAGCAGCACAGGCCACAGCATGGGTCTGGGCTCCCCTTCCCTCCGTCTGCTATTGAGAAAAGGAGCACTGGATCAGGGACAAAGATCCATTACCCAACTTGGTCAGAGCTCTTGAACACCTTTTCAGGGCATTTTCTCTTGAGGGTAAACATGCTGTGCCACACTAGGACGATCTGTCTTTGACTTCTGTCAGAGGGGAAAAGCAAAATTGGGCATAGATGACCTCACCAAAGCAATTGTATTTTCAGGTAAAATAATGCCCTCTGTCACACCATTTAGTTTACAAAATTAGACTTACCACCATGTTAGTTCTTTTAATCAGTCTTGTCTTAAATCAGCAGTTCTCAAGATGTTGTCTGAGGATCCCTGCAGATCCCTGGGACCTTTTTTGGGGGTCTGCAAGGTCTTCCCTTCTCCAACAACATATCTGTGCGAGGCTGGAATTTCTTCATCTACTTCAGCCGTAACAACATACTGCAACAGATTGAACACAGATGCAGATACTGGAACTCAGCTGTCTTCTTTGAAGCCAGACGTTGAAATGTAAAACAATGACACTTCATAACTAAATTTTTTTTGTTTTGGAGAATATTATTTTTTCCTAAATATATTATTATATTTGTATTTTTAAATGAATATTTTAAACTTTGTTTTAATTCCTAGTACAGTAAATGTTGATAGATATAATCCATATAAAGAACTTTTGGGGGGCCTGGCGCAGTAGCTCACACCTGTAGTCCTAGCATTGTGGGAGGCCGAGTCAGGAGGATTGCTTGAGCTCAGGAGTTCGAGACCAGCCTGAGCAAGAAGGAGACCCTGCCTCTACCAAAAATAGAAAAAAATTACCCAGCCATGGTAGCTCACACCTATAGTCCCAGCTACTTGAGAGGCTGAGGCAGGAGGATCACTTGAGCCCAGGAGTTTGAGGTTGCAGTAAGCTAGGCTGATGCCACTGCACTCTACCCAGGGTGACAGAGCGAGACTCTTTGTCTCAAAAAAAAAAAAACAAAACAAAAAAACATTTGGGGGTCCTTAATAATTTTAATAGTATAAAGGGGACTTGAGGCCAGGAAGTTTGACAACTGCTGCACTAGAGGACCCTCCTGGGAGAAACATCTACATCTTCTTTCTTTCTTTTGGTCCTATGTAGTGGGAGATGATATAGCACAGACCTAGATTTATTTATTTATTTATTGTTGTTGTTGTATTTTTATTTTATTTTTGAGACAGAGTCTCGCTCTGTCGCCCGGGCTAGAGCGTCGTGGCGTCAACCTAGCTCACAGCAACCTCAGACTCCTGTGCTCAAGTGATCCCCCTGCCTCAGCCTCCTGAGTAGCTGGGACTACAGACATGTGCTACTACGCCCAGCTAATTTTTTCTATTTTTAGTAGAGATGGGGTCTCCCTCTTGTTCAGGCTGGTCTTGAACTCCTGAGCTCAGGTAATCCTCTCACCTTGGCCTCCCAAAGTGCTAGGACTACAGGCATGAACCACTGCGCCCAGCCCCAGACCCCAGCCCTAGATTTATACAGACACTTTCAAAGGAAAATTAAGTGTCTGATATATAACAGGTATCTGATATGGTAAGATGGTGATGATGGTGATGATTGTTAGTTCCTGTGAGTCCTTGGATGTGTATGTGCCTGCATTGCTCCTCTTTAGGTACACATTTTTGTGCTCTGTGTTTTCTCTGTGGCCCAGTACCCCATTCTTGTCTCTCACTTTAATTTTTGTTCTTCATATTAGAAATGGCTCAGGTGAAGCATTTTTCCCCATTTAAGTGTGTTGGAATCATGTTCCTCAAGGGAATTTATTGTCCTCATGGACCCTGCAATACAGGTTAATCTTCCTAATGGGAAGAGGCAGGTAACTAAGTTGGGTACCTGATCACACCCCACTTTTCTCTCAGCTGAGCTCTCACCCTGAGGCATTGGTGCAGGGGTGCCTATGTACAGGCCTACTCACTGGAAAAATCCGTAAATCCTAGGGCCAGGACAGGGTGAGCAGATATCTCAGTCTTCAGGTCTGCCTGATCCTCATCACTGATTTCCTCTCAAGAAAGCAAGGACTGTATGATCCTTTGACTCACACAGTATCATCTGCAAATAAGTGCCTCCCTGGGAATGATGACAGTCCCATCAAGATGCCTGTAGCAGCTGAGCTGGCTGTTGTAGGAATGTGTGCTAGAGAGGAAGAGCAACAGCCAGTGATGCTGAGAGGGTGGGCAGGGTAAGAACGGAACTGGTATGCTTACCTTCTGACCCTAGAGACTTATCTCCTAGGTACAGCTGTATGAACTAGAAGTATGTCCATCTACTTACTAGCAAAAGGGTCATCACTTACTGTCAGCAATGCAGCTGAGCAGTGGAGCAGCAGCACAGGATCTGGTAACAGCGTTAGGTCCAAGGTCCAGCTCAACCTCACCCATGTGACCTGGGCACATCACTGACTTACCCCAGTTTTCAAGCCCCAGTTTTCTAACTGGTAAAAATACAGTAATATCTGCCCTATCTGCTTCATAGAATTGCTAATAAGATTTAGATTAAGTGATAGTACAATTTTATTAATTTTATAAAAAGCTGCTTTACACTACAAATAGGGTTTTTATTCTTTGCCCCCTGCCCTCTGGACTCATGAGGCTTCTGTTCTTTTCTCCAGGTTACCTGTGCATGACAGATGAGTGGTTCTCTGAGTATGTCTACGAAGTGGTGGTGGACAGGAAGCATGTCCCTGAAGAGGTGCTAGCTGTGTTAGAGCAGGAACCCATTATCCTGCCAGCATGGGACCCCATGGGGGCTTTGGCTGAGTGATATTGCCTCCAGCTCTTTCCTCCTCCCGTGGAACCTGAAGTAGCTGCAAAGGACAGATCCAGGGACTGAAGCCAAAGTTACGTAGGTGACTGTGTTCCCATAGGACACAGTTAGACTCTTGGATTTCCAGTCTCTTCCAGGAGCTTCTTCGGGGAAGTGTGCTTTATGCTGAAACAAAATATTCTTGAAGAAAACAAAAAGGGGAAAGATCAGGTCATACTATCTACTCTCCTCATCTCCAACAGCTCAGGATCTCTTAGCATTTTAATCAAATGTAATTGTTTGTCTTAACTCTGTCAAAAAGGTTTGATTCAGTATCTGTTTTAATAAGACAGGAGAGGATGAGCAATTGAGGTATGTGGGGAGAAAACAGACCTAATGCTCCTTGTCCTAGAGTAGAGTGGGGGGAGGGTTACCTAAGATTTGAGCTCTCAAAACTGCATGCTGCCTGACAGTATCGCTGTCCTTCCTACATGGCAGTCACTGAATTCAATTCTTTCAAGGTAATTTCATGTGCCTCTAATAGCCCAAGAATGGGAGGTTGATCAGGTCTGACATGATTCCTTCCTGTTTTTCTGAACAGTGGGAAGCACAGTTCTACTTGAGTCAGGTTTAAGTAGAGGCTTATTAGACAAACGGGTGAGAGAACAGCTAAAACCTGATCATGATCTCAATTATAATCATTAGGGGGAGCTCTCGCCAAGTAGTTTAACTTCTGCCTCTGGAATTGGGGGTTGGGTGGGCAAGGAAAAGGTGATCCATTCTTTCTGACAGCTAGATGGTGCTGAGATGCTTTTGAATAAAACACTTTGCTAAATGAAAATAAGTTGGCTTATTTGATCTAAGAAGCTATAAAAGAAGACAACCAAGTGACTCATGTTCTTCAAAATGAAAAAATGAAGAAGGCTTCTCTGCTTCAGCTTCTCTGCAGAATATCTGCTCCTTCCCAGCCTGTACTAATTCTCACTGGCTTCTGCAAAGGGCTTCCAAATACCATATTTAAGAAGGGCTGGGCCCCTGCCACTTAACCCTTTTTCCACCCTACAAGGGGTGGAAGTGAGGCTCTGTTGGGCCGGCGGGTTGGGAAGCATGTACCTTACCAAGATCAGGCCTTGTTTTCACTGAAAGCAAGTAAGTAGAACACCCTGGTCAGCATTTCCATCAGTGCCTGAGCCCCCTGCCAGTCTGGCTCTCCAAGAATGCTCCCAGTCCTGTCAGGGGTATCATCTGTCTCAGCACTTTCCAAGATAAAATTAGATAAAGGTTCAAGCTTTCACCAGAGTATTTATAATATGCCAGTAATCCTGTTCCAAGCAGGATAAATAAATCTATTTCTAGACACACAAACTGCAAAACAGATCTAAATGCATATAGGACAAAAAGATTAACTCCAAAATAAAGACAATTAGATTGACAGCTAACTTCTCATTGGTAACTATATGCTAGAAGACAGCAAAATAAATCTTCAAAGTTCTATAAAAAATTAGCTGTGAACTTAGAATTCTGTACTTGATAAACTGTCTTTCAAGAACAAGGGTGCAATAGAAGACATTTTCTCAAGAAATTAAGTTGCCCCAACAGAAGGGAAGTGTTCTAATATGGAAGGCTTAAAATGTATCAAAGATTGAGAGCAAAAAAATAACTGTAGATAAGTCTCTGAGTATTCAAAAAAAGATAAGATGCAAATCCATGAAAGTAGCAGATAATTAGGGAGGAGGTGATTGGAATTAACATATTCTAAGGTCCTTGTGTGATTTAGGAAGAAGATACATATATTGATTAACTTTAGATGTTGGTATATTAATATGTTTGCTAAAAATTTCTAGATTATCTACTAAAAAATAAGCAGAGGATATAGTCTCCAAGCAACAATAAATAGAATGAGGAAATATAATTAACCCATAAGAAGACAAGATAGGGAAGAGAAAGAAAAGGCATAATAGAAATATAATATCCAAAATAAGATAGTAGAAATAAATCTAAATGTGTCAGTAATTATATATAAATGGATTAAATGCTCCAGAAAAAAGAAATTGCCAAATTGAATTTTTAAAAGAAATACAGTCAACTGCTGATTATAAGAGAGACATAGTTCAGAATATTTAAAAGGATGGAAAAAGGCAGATACTAACCAAAATAAGTCTAGTGAAGTTATACTAATAACCCACAAAATTAAGGCCACTCTGAGTAACCAAACAGACTGTCTAATTCCACGCTACGTTACTCACGTGAACCGTTATGTGAATGGCCTACCTGGAGTTGTGTGACACTGTAGCCCTGGAAACAGGCTTTAAGAAAAAAGAACACTGTGTGTAACAACTACACATTCTTTTTGAGCACACACAGAACTTTTTAAAAAATGGACCACATACTGGACAGTCAAGTCAACCTCCACAAATGTCAAAGGGTTGTTATCATAGACCACAGTGCAATTAAGTTAAAAGCAAAAATTAAAAGATAACTAGAAGACCACTATGTGTTTAGAAATTAACTCAGGGGTCTAAGAAGAAATCATAAAGGAAGTTTAACCTGAACAATAATATAAATAATTCATATCAAAACAAGGGATGCTGCTAAAACAGTACTTAAATTTTGTAGCATTAAAATATTAAAATATTAAGTAATGTAATATTAAAGTTACAGAATATTCTATAATTTAATATTAAAATGACACTAGAATAATAATGTAATATTAAAATTACAATAGAATGTAAGAAAGGCTGAAAATTGACATCTTTCAGGAAACTAGAACAAGCTGGGTATGGTGGCTCACGCCTGTAATCACAGCAACTTGAGACGGGAGAACCCTTAAGGCCAAGAGTTCAAGACCAGCCTGGGCAACAGAGTGAGACCCTGTCTCTAGAAAGGTTTTTTAAAAAAACGAGCCAGGCACGAGATGACACGTGCCTGTAGTCCCAGCTACTCAGGAGGCTGAGACAGGAGTTTGAGGCTACAGTGAGCTATGATCATGCCACTGCACTCCAACCTGCTTGACAGAGCGAGACCCTGTCCTAGAAAGAAAAAAATGTACAACAGCAAAATAAACCTAAAGAAAGTAGAAAGAAATAAAGATGCACAGAAATTAAACGTAGGATCAACAAAACCAGAAATTGGTTCTTTGCAAAAAAGAAAACAACAAAAGCACACAGGAATTAAGAGGAGAATATTATTATAGATGCTGCAGATATTAGAAAAATAGAAGATAATATTAACTTTGTCAGAAGTGATAGTAAAGGGATTTCTGTAGAAGGCAAATCCACCAGCTTGGGAAGACATAAGAGGAGACAACAATATTCGAAGCTGTTAAACTGGCGGGGCATCGAAAGATTTAGCAGAACTGAAAAGTGAATCCTGAGCCGGTTGTGGAGAAAGCCAGTGATAAGCAAACCAATTTATGTTTCATAATCCTCCAAAAAGATATGGTAGTTTATGATCTAGAGGTCACGGCAACAGAGGTGTGGGTGAGAAGTACCAAAAGGGCATTAAGTGAGCATTTATATTCAGAACGTCTCCGCCATCCTGGGCTCCTAGAACCCTAGTAGCCAGGAGATTGGAAATGTTCTCTTGGAAATCTTGATTAGCCCAAGAGGAAAGGTATAGTGAACTATTTTATGCCGTAGAGAATTATTTTATGATATATCCCTAATAAGAATAGTAAAAAAAAAAAAAAAATTACACGTAAACCTCACTCATAAACATAGATGCAAAAGTCCTAAACCAAATCCAACAATATATTAAAAAGATAATCTGGCCAGCCGCAGTGGCTCATGCCTACAATTATAGCACTTTGGGAGGCAGAGGCTGGAGGATTGCTTGAGGCCATGAGTTCAAGACCAGCATGGGCTAGAGAGAGACCTCGTCTCTACGAAAAATAGAAAAATCAGCTGGGTATGGTGGTGCACGCCTGTAGAAAGTACCAGCTACTTGGAGGGGTGAGGCAGGAGGATCACTGGAGCCCAGGAGTCTGAGGTTGCAGTGAGCTATGATTATGCCACTGCATTCCAGCCTGAGGAGATGGAGAATACCCTGGCTCAAAAAAAGAAAAAAAAAAAGATAATAATAAAAGACATTTTTCAAATAAAATCAAGATCCAGTGGAGAGAAACACAATGGTATATTTTCTCTGCTGAAAAATCAAGGGAAATGCACTGAAGTTTTAGCCAGAGATCTGCATTGGAAGAACTTGCTAATATTTGGGTGACTAATGAGCTAGGAAATGAGAGGGCATGGAATTGTCCCCTATAACTCTGAACGATACAGCGTCACCAGAGGCAAGCTTGATGACTTTGGGCTCTGGGCGTTCGCGGCTGAGTCACGGTGACCCTACCAAGAAGCCAAGACCTGATAATGAGCTACGCCTTCAGGATGTGGTTGTGGCCCGATCTGCTTGGCTTTGGCTTGTCCTCAAAAGGCAGTTTAATTCTAATTCACTTGTTGGCAGCGCCAGGGCACTTACACTTCGATTCCCACCCCTCCAGGGCGGTGTGGGTGAGCATCGTTGCCGACTGTGGCTGTAGTTAGTCATTTGTTAAGTGGGATTTTTTAAAAAGTAATTCCAGATGAGCATTCTCACATGTAGGACAACATGTTCAGAACCATTGTTGCTTCTCTTGAAGCTGACTCCTCCTTCCTTGTATCATTTCTATGATACAAATAGACTGAAAACTAGGAAAACTGGCCAGAGTTTTTCTTTTTTTCCTTTTCAAACTCCAAGTCCTTTGCACATTACTGCAGAGGAAAAGAAAGGGAGGGAATGTTCAATTCATACCAGATGTGGTTATTTGGGAACAGGATTGTGTGCAGATGGGAAGCCCGCCACATTCTTCTCTCTTGAGTATCATTTTAATACTCACTGTTTTCCCATTGCTTACTCCTCCAGAAAAGCTCTAGTTAATAGCACAACTTGAAGTGGGCAGAGTGGGCTCCGGAGCCATCTCTCAGGCTACCTACCCCATGACAGTTGTTGGTTTTTATTTTTATTTTTTTTAAATAGCTGCTGTACAGAAGGTTAGGGCAGCCGAGGCAGGGTGGATGTTTGGTGGAAAGTATCAGAATGTGCCTGACTTAGAATTATAGGATCCCTGCATCTCACCTGGCAGGGACCTTAGGGGTTACCTAGTCCAAACTTCTCCAAGACAGGTAAGTCCTTTAAGTTCTACCTGGACACATTCAGTGACAGGAACACACAGCCTCTCACTGTGGCCCCTGCCCACCTCCCCAGACTCCACTTACTGCCCGTCTTGTCTGCTCTGCTGCAGCCAACCACCAACCCCCCACCCCCTTCCCACACTTTGTCCCTCAAATACACCAAGCTCATTTCTGCCTCCTTGCTGTTCCTTCTGCCTGAAGCTTTTCCCTCATGTCTTTGCATGGCTGGCTTCTCATTATCCAAGTCATGGCTTCAATCTCTGATCATCTTATCTAGGGAGCCAACTTCCTCCACCACCTCCACATCTGTCACTCTTCTATACTGTTACTAGGGTCTATTTTCTTCCCAGCACTTACACTTTCTGAAATTATCTTATTTATTTATGTGTCTGTAGTCTGTTTTCCCCAAAGGCAGTACCCCCTGTCAGTTCCCAAGGACAGGGGCTTTGTCTTGCTCATGACTGTCTTCTCAATGCCTAGCTCATAGTAAATATCGGTAGGCTGACTGACTGAACATGCCCTACACCCTGACAGCTATAGTCAATTAAAAGTTTATACAAACATCTAAATCAGCTTCCTTATAACTTGCTCAGTAGGGACGAATAGAACAACAACAAAATCCCTGTAGATCTTCCTACTTTAGCACTTAACATAAAAGGTCTAGATTTCATGAAGG